ACAGTACTCAATTCCTACCATGCACAACACATGCTTTTGAACAGATCATGCCTTGTTTCCAAAGATTTCGTTGTGTGTGTCTCAAAAGTATCCCTTGTGAAGAGAAAACAGTTGCAAATCTGGTGCACTTTGCAGAGAAGGTGGAATGCCGGATCCATGAATACGAATGAAATATAATCCAGGACCCACTAGAGTCACTTTCAACGAATTTTCGGGTCCTACTGGTCTCTGGTAGACCTTTTTGGTTTCAGTTGTGCTCAATTTGACCACTTCTCGGCCCTGGATGCTAGCGGTCCACTCACCACGTCGTCCTGCTCGGGCAGGTCTTTCCTTGCACGATTGGCCATTGCTGCTGGAGTATTCCTGGCTCGGTTTCTTTCTTCCTCCAGAGAGGAAACCATCCAGAGAATGAGACTAAGAGCAGTCTGCGCCAAGGTTAAATAACCCAAAAACTTGTAGACTTTTAGTGCCTGAAATATATGGATTTTGGCAGCAAAGGAGAGCATGTATTGATCCGAATGAAGCGAAACCTTTAGATCCGTTTGTGGGCTGAAAGACAAGTATCTTATACCCGATATCCGATGGGAAATGTTGTAGTAAACGCCAAAGATATAGAAGAACGCCAGATGTATGCGGTAAAGCTGAGGAACACCAACAGACCTAAAAAAGCAGCATGAAACCTATCAGAGAACACGGGAATACTCAAAGATGATACTATACCTCATCCATTCCACTAATAACTTGAAGCTGCTTCTAGCCTTCTGATTGTTCCTGATTGTGATGCCCATAAACGATGAAGTAGATGGATGTGCGAGAAGACGCTCTGCTCTCTAAAAAATAAGGTTAATGAACGTACCTACGTGTCATGCCGATTCGAATAATGACCAGCTCTTCAATGATGACATAAGGCGCACCTGCAGAGCAAACTGCGACATAATAGGGGCAACTGCGTGAACAAGAACAAACAGAAGTCTAGCTCCTAGCGAAGGGACAGCTCGTACTGTCGACCGGATTTGGAATATCTTCACATATTCCTCACCAAGAGTTTGAACACACCTTTAAAAACAGTACAGCTGAACAAAACTTCCAAGTACACCTGCTTATTCGTAAAGCTGGGCTGCTATTTTTGGAAAACACCTGCATCATTCTAAAGATTACTTTAACAAAGAAGGTCTTCCAGGGTAAACCGCGCTCTTTGAAACGGTTTTTTGCATACTGTATGGGCTCTCGCATGCACTACAGTTTTATGCTTCTTTTCCGCTGAAGAGTCCCTTGAAGCCCAAAAATTGGTCGGAAAAAATTGTTAGGAATGGGTGGGCTTTCACAGCTTTGTGATTCCCACTCGAAAAGCGTGACATGTTGGCACGTGCCAGATGCAGTCCCAGCGAGCAACACGCCGCGGAAATCAAGCGGTACACGTAATGATTCACGGGATCAAAGTGCCTGATTTTCATAGAGAAGCCGGACACGGTCGCCGCGGCCGGTTGAAGTCGTCCCCAGGGTCAAGCGAGGCGTCGAGGAAAATTTGGAAATACGACCCCCCTCCCTCCGCCGGAAGGCCGAAGTCCATGAAACAACCCTCTTCAAAAGCCGAACTATGAAAAAAAGCTTGTTTAATTCTCCCCCAAAACTGCTCATAAAAAAGCCCTGCTACCCCACCGTCCACAAAAAATTCGTTTAAGAAGTACAAAAGTGAAAAAGTCAAAGAATAATCATTATTGATGAGTCCTACCAAACGAGCAAACGAGAAACAGACCAGAAAACGACAAACTAGCCACTAAAAATGGCATACCATGACAACATCTGTTCTTTATTTATTTCCTCCACAAGACTTACCAAATTCTAGTACTACACAGATTATGGTTCTCAATTTACACGTCCCCCTTTCGCTCAAAGGAAGCCTTGTAAAAGCCTTCGCCAGCTGCTGTGTTGACTGGACTTTGGCGTTGACCGTGGAGCAGCTTATTTACTATTGAAATTTGAACAAATATTCAAATGATTATAACTTTCTTCAAAGTTAACGAATTTTCAATCTGAAAGCTGATTTGGGAGTTTTGTGAAGAGCTTTTTCTAATCAGTACTGAAATTACAGGAAGTTATAAGAAATAACAAATTTAGATCAAATAACGAGGAAAATTCGAGACGAGCACGAGTTTTTACACTTTCCGGAGCAATAACTTGCTTCATTTCCGTCAAATTCAAAAAGTTGATACGTCATACAAAACTAGAAGATTTTCTCTATCAAACGGTCGCTAAAGCAGCTTCATACGTCCAGTATTCAAAAAATGGCCACGTTGAGGATTTTTGCAAAATTAACGAGGAAAATTTGTGATGAGTGCGAGTTTTTTTACTTCCTAAAGCCATAACTCCGTTCAAACTCATCCAATCCGAAAAGTAAATACGCCATCATAAACTAGAAGATTTGCTCTATCAAATGCTTACTAGAACTGCTCCAAACGTCCAGTATTAAAAAAACGGCTACGTTGAGGATTTTCGCACGAGTACCGCCGAAAGGTACTTTTTCGCTACATTGGCACTATTTCAACGGCTGTATATCCTTTTAAGGGCGATTATGTACTAAAGTAAGAGCAGATTTGGAATCATTGCTTTTCTCTTTCTAAGAAAAGTGATTGATTAGCGTTTCTCAACTTTAAAGGTTACATGTTTATAAATTTAACCCTGAAGAGTCCGTTAACGCAATGTTGAATGGTGTACACCTCCCTGTAAATGCGCACGGACACTTTCAGAATTCTCTCGATTGTTCCTGAATTGAGGTTGTTTGTCCAAGGAGCCGTAGTTGAAGCGCGCGCAACAACTAGACCCTTTCTCGGATGCGCCGTGTACCTCACATCCCTTCAGATTCGGGGTCTTACTTGAAAGATGAAATATCTCTTGGAAAGCGTGCGAAATTCAGATTCTTTAACTTGTGTGGTGATAAAACACTGAAGTAACTAAGAATTACCGGACGCCTCAGAATCACGAAAATTTTGTGTGGGTGAAATATCATTTTCATTGGAAATCCTCTGGCCTGGCATCGACTCATCCTTGATATTTGTCTTCCGACGGTGATGATCCCACTGCATCAAAATGGCTCGATCTCTTCCACCCAGCGGGCCAATACGACCCCCCTGCGACGTGTCGAGGATTCCTCAACGCACGCTTGACCCTGGATCGCCCTGCTCATGAATGTGCCCACA